CAACGCCCAGCTGCTGCCCTCTTCCCGTCTGTCCCCACCACCGCAAAATGCGCATGGTTGGACACGTTAAAATGTTAAATCCAATCCCATGCCTAGTCCCCCTTCGCTCTTCCCAGCTCTCTCCTCTCGTGACCTCACTTGGGCGTGTTGGCAAAGCCGTTGTTGGTGTGCTTGAGGGTGGACGTGGCTTTAGGCAGACTGGTGACTCTTCGATTACTTCCAACTATTTATGAATCAGTGAAGATGTCCGACACTGGTTTAGCGGAGCAAAAACAATAGGGTTGGACCGAGAACACTGACCCCATGAACAAGAACGCCGACGGGTCGCTGCAGGGATACAGGAATCCTCATCAGAAGACCCAAAAGGCAAGCTCTCAACTTAATTATAGGTCTGTTTCCGTGTTTGGTAAAGATTGTTGATGAAGAAGCTCAATCGATCTGTAAGGATTAGAACGGATCTTAATCATCTTTGCGGAGAGGACACAAAAGGGACGTAAGACGACTCTGTCTAGATGAATATCCAGGAGACCTGGAGCAATTTAGTTATCATGGATGTGAATAAAGTTCCTTTTGCAAGCCTTATACCCTTGAAAGAATTTATCTTACGTTAAGCGCAAATCGGTAGAAACTACTACTGAATTATTGTCGTTTCTAGTCAACCTAATGACTTCTCAGGAGGAGAAGAGGAAACTTAGGTCAACTTTCTAGAGTTTATAAAGTCATGTTCACGATACACAAAATTAAGATATTCTCAAAAAGTTAGTCTACCAGGCGGTAGTAATTTTTAATATCAGGTTACATTTGGATTACTCCAGTTCCAAGGTGGTCGTGATTTTACGCAAACATTTACGCGAATTTAGCTCGCTCCCCATGCCTGAAGACAGCTGATCAAAATCTAAGTACTTCTTCCTCTACCGGTCGTAGTTCAGAGAAATCTTGCCAATCATGCATTTTGTACTTTCCCTTAATTGCTCAAATATTTCTCTATTGTAGAAGCATCATAGCTGGTTTAAGGCTGTGAAAAGAAAGAATGCACCGGCAGCCAATTCATTGAAACTTGACGCGAAAGAAGACGATGTTGAAAGCGCCAGCGGGGACTCGTACAGCAGTTCTTCGGATGGACCACCCAAGGCTCCTTTGTGTACACGTTTGAAAGAGTGAGTATGCTGTCTCAGGGAAGTCCTAATTGATGCTAGTTTAGAATCGGACTTGCATATTTTCTTCGCCTTTTTGACTCCAGGATTTGACAGGACAAGCCTAGGCACTGCTGAGCAAGAGCTAGCGAGGACTGGCAAGCTATCAGATCTAACTGCGTATGCGGCAAGCAGTACAGCAGAGGTTTGCAGTCCAGCGTCCAGGCGTTGAGTTGTCTTTGTCAGCTAACACCACCAGAGTTGAATTCTTGACGCATAAATCAGCCAGTAGGAAATAGCAAAAAAGAATTAGCTAACGAGTAGGCGGTATTTTTCTAACTGCAGGCGCTAAAAAAAGGAGGAGCATAGGGGAGCTCCGGAACTTTGTGCTTATTGGTACGGAATTCCGAACTCGAACAGAAGTTAATTGTTCTGCCCGAGTTCGAGAGCCCAGACAAATAAGCATGCGGTTCGGATT